GTAATCTGACTACTGGCTACAGAGCAGGAATTTTTTCCTGTGCCTACATGCCGATATTAGTTCGTTTCTTGAGTTCAATGAGCTTAGTTCGGGATAGTAAATTATAACGAACTTTTCGTGCAGGCATAATTTACAACGAAAAGTTCGTTATAATTTACTATCCCGAACTAAGCTCATTGAACTCAAGAAACGAACTAATATCGGCATGTAGGCACAGGAAAAAATTCCTGCTCTGTAGCCAGTAGTCAGATTACAAACATATATTTACGCTTTCCTAATGACGTCAAACATTTGTATATAACAGCTCAAGTTACCTATAGGTTATAAGATCATGCATGGATCATGTAAATACGCGATATCACCATTCACCTGATGAGTGTGGCAAGCCTAGCTTGCCATACGAAACAAATTTGTTGTGAATAAATGTTTTAAACGAAGTAACTCAAGCTTGTCTTACAGCTAATAATACGGTTACATAATAATACTCATTACAGCTAATAATATGGTTATATATTTCAGAAAAGAGAAGAATGTTCTTTAATACAGGTATATAGGCAGCGATCAGTTTTTCCTACGTACTTATATTGGCATTACATCCAGGGCATTTGAATTCATACACGACGGACTGAAGGAGCTTTGATACGTTTTTGGTGTTGGGTCTTTAAGTGTGATGAAGCAATTAGTGTCGTCAGTAGTTTTCCAGTTGACGATAAATTTGTAAGGGGATTTCAGTAGAACGAGGACATATTTTTCTAGAAAGAGGAGATTTGGAAATGACATTTTACAAAAAAAGCTGACAGGTGGTTCGAATTTTAGCTGCCAACTGACATCCCAACATCACAGTTATTAAGATTGTCTATGTCCCAGTGGTAATTTCTAGAGAACAAGAACAATACATATTTCGTAATAGTAACACAGGAACAAAGCCAAAACGAGAACATGTACAAGAGAACATGGTGAAATCTTTCTGGGGAGAAAAGGGAAACAATTCGAAGGGAACACAGGAACGCAGATACCCCCTCCCACCAGAGAAACTATTGACACAGGCTTTCTTGTCCAAATGTCGGATTTGTCTATAAGCTATGTATTTGAAAATCATGTAAACATATATTCTCATCTGTCGAACACAATTACTAACCCAATAATATCATTGTGACGTCACGTGGTCGTTATCCTAGGAAGATGAAATATATGCTATATGGCACATATTGTCCGAAGAGAGCTCAACACGGCTTCAGTACAAGAAAACGGCAACGACATGGAACTTCGCCTATTTATTGTATTTCTAGGCGTGGTTGTGAGCCAAACGTAAAAATACTGGTAGTAATGCTGGCTTGACTTACTACATCCCTATTATAGTATTATTTACCTTGCAAGCAGTTGTGCTGTTACAGTAGAACGTGGTTTCAAATGACACAGTTATTTTATGAATTATGGCAATGATATTCAAATGTGCCAGTAAGACATTTGTCGTTTGTTTCTCTTTTAGCAATACAGTAGATCGAAAAGGTGATTGCAGGTATTCAGATCCTGGAGTGCTGTGAAATGGCCCTGAACTTGGGCAATTAAGTAATATGATTGATGTAAAGGAAATTTTTAATTCATTGTAAATGACTAATAAAATTCGAATGGTGAGAATAATGATGATGATGCTAGTGTAACGCACAAGTTGTAATGATGACTGCTGATCGATAATGAAAATATATTTTACATACCAATTGACTATTCCCTTATTACGTTTTGGTAGCGCTTTGCATTGTGGTTATAGTGGTATCACTGACAGTCTGCAGATATTCAAGATGGCTTATTTTTTGTCAAAACCCGTGCAAGAACGTTCGTGCAAGAACGTGCAGAATATTCGCGAAAACATTCAATATTTTCATTCGAGGCCGCTATCTTTATTAGTGATACCACTATAACCACAATGCAAAGCGCTACAAAACATAATAAGGGGAATCTAATATTGTAATGAGACATAAATAATAAAGAGATTGGCTGGTGAGAAGGCAGTACCTGGGTGCATTTTTGTCTATTGGGTGATATTGCCATGGCCTGGGTGAATGCCAATCGGCCACCATTAGATCAAGTCCCATGCCATTTTGTGTTAAAAACTAAGGTTATGTTCTCATCAACTCAATAAGCTGCCTTCAACCAGGGCCTTTTTTAACATACAAGCTAGGGGAGCATTTGTCCCCCAGTTCCCCTTGTGCCCC